CCCCAGCAACAGTGAGGCAATAAGCAACTCAGGGGATGTGGCTCAGTGGTCAAATGCCCCTGAGTTCAATCCCTGGTACCCCCCTAAAAAATGAAATGAAGGATTAAATTTAAGACATGAAATTATAAAACTACTAGAATTAAACAGGAAGAGTATTTTAACACATTGGAATAACCAAGATTATTTTTGGATAAAACTCCAAATGTAGAGGAAACTAAATAAAAGTAGACAAAATTTTATCAAACTAAAAGGTTCTGCACAGCAAAGGAAACAATCATCAAAGTAAAGAGATAACCTACAGAATGGGAGAAAATATTTTCAAAAAATACATCTGATAAAGGGTTTAATATCCAGATTATACAAGGAATTCCAAAGACTTAGTAGCAACTAAAAAAATGTGTGTGTGTGTGTGTGTATATATATATATATATATATATATATATATATATATATATATAAAATGTATATATATACATACATTTTAAATGTATATATATATTTTTAAATGTGTATATATACATTTTAAAAAGTGTGCAATAGACATTTCTCAAAAGAAGACATGCAAAGAGGGTACAAATATATTAAAAATATTCAGCATCACCAGGAAATGCGCATCACAACAATGAAGTTCTGGTAAGAATAGGTTCATAAAACAGAAAAAAATAGCAAGTGCTGGCAAGAATGCAGAAGAAAGGGAGCTCTTGCATATGTTGGTGGGAATGTAAATTAGTGTACTTATTATGGAAAACACTGCAGAGATTCATCAAAAAATTTAAAATAGAACTCTCATATGATCCAACATTCCCACTCCTGGGATTATATATACAAAGAAAATCAGTATTTCAAAGAGAAATGTGAATTCCCATTTTCATGGCAGTTCTAACCACTATAGCCAAGAAAAAGAAATAACTGTCCATTGACTGATTAATACATTAAAAAATGTGGTGAATATACATTTGGGGATAATAGTCACCCAATAAAATTAATGACATCTGCAATGACATGTACAGAACTGGATATAATTATGTTAGGTAAAAAGAACTAGACATAGAAATACATGCACTATATGATCTCATGCATGTGTGAAAAATAAAACAGCCATCTCAAAGAAATTAAAAATAGTACAACCATTATAACAGGCTAGGGATAGGGTGAGATGAAGAATGGGAGTAGCGTGGTCAATGGGTACTAAGTTACATTTATATATGAACAGAAAGTTCTGGTGTACCATTAACAGTAGCATGAATACAGATAATGACAATGTGTTATTTTGAAAAGCTACAGGAAAGAATGGTGAATATTTTAGCATAACAAAATGATAAATGTTTGGTTGGTTGATATATTTAACCTGATTTATACATTACACACTATATAATTGTATTGAAACAAAAATGGTATCCCATAAATATGTGTAATTGTTGTGTTTAAAAAAATAAATTTAAATTCAAATACAGTTTCAAAAATAAGGCAGAACTTGGTGAGCACAGTGGCGCACCTATAATCCCAGTGATTCTGGAAGCTGAGGCAGAAGGATCACGAATTCAAAGCCAACCTCAGCAATGATGAGGCACTAAGCAACTCAGTGAGACCCTGTCTCTAAGTAAGATATAAAATAGGGCTGGGGAGGGGGCTCAGTAGTTTAGTGTCCCTGAGTTCAATCCCCAGTACCAAAAAATAAAAATAAATAAATAAATAAAATTAAGCCAGAACTTGAGATTTTGAAACATTTCCCCTTATACATATACCAAAAAGTAAGAGACTTTGTTCAGAAGAAAAGACTAAAAGTTATGGCTAAATAACAATTATATACAATTAGTATAAATATGAACCATGGAGCTAATCAGCTATTCTCAGCAGAATCTAAGGATATAGATGAGGTTCTTCCAATAGAAACACTGCCAGCTTGGAGTAAAGACAAGAAATAAAAACCAATTTTGGATATGTCTCAAGGATAATCAGAATTGCCACTCTTACCACAGGTCTAAGAACCAAGATTACTCCTTCTTTTGGTTTTAAGAGTTCTGAAGACATGAATCTTGTACATAACTATGTGGTATGGGTTCCTGAAGAGAGATATTTGAGTAGCACTTTGTTGAGACAAGGGGTGGGGTTGTCTAATAAAACCATGAAATGATGTCTGCTCCCTAGTTGGCTTGTAAAGCATAGAATCAAACAAAAGAAACTTTTTTTTAGAAGTTGAATTTGAATGGAGTTTTTTAAAAAATATATTTTTAGTTGCAGATGTTCAAATACCTTTATTTTGTTTATTTTTTTATTGTTGTGCTGGGGATCAAAACCAGTGCATCACACATGCTAGGCAAGTGGTCTACCACTGAGGTCTACCCCAACCCCTTAAATTTCAATGGAATTTGATTTGGTATCTTTTAGAATTCTTTATGACATATCACCCCTTTCTTTTTTCCATTCTCCCATTTGGGAAAGGAATGTATGCCCTTGTCTCACCATTCCATTGTAGAAGACAAGACTTGTCTGGTTTCTCAGGTTCACAGCTAGGGAAGAGTGTGCCTCAAGATACATAGTACATAGGACTTTAACCATAGAGGATTTAGAAGGTATTTAGTTGAGACTTGTGCTGTCAAGATTGGAGTTCATCCTAAAATGTATTAAGATTTGGGGCATGTTGGAATGGAATGCAGTATATTCCCTGGTGGAATATGATGATGGGGATAGCAAAGAGGAAAATTCCATGGACTGAACTATGTACACCTAAAATTCATTAAGTTGAAGCCCAAACCACCAATGCTATATGGTTGAGAGATGAGTGTTTGAGAGATAATTAGGTAAAGTTGTGGTCATGAAGATGGGACCCTCACCATGAGATTAGAGCCCTTATAAGTAAAGGAGGCAGAGAGCTTGCTCTCTCTCTCCAAGCTTTGTGGGTGCATAGCAAGTGTTTCGAGGGAGCAAAATTGTGACGTGTGCAGAAAAGGGGGGGAATAAAGAATGTCCATGCGCTTCTGCCCCTTTCAATGCTTTCTTCACTCAAATTACTCAATACAGTTTCACTCTATAGGCTCTTAAGAAAACAACAATCCTTAATGCTGTGCACTGAAATAGACATAATCGATTCACAGCAAACAATTCTAGATTAATTCTAAGCACTGCAAAACACACTTAATCATGACAGACTAGTGACAGACATTCCCTCTTTGTGCTACATTCAAAGGTCTTAAGTCCTAGGCTTTGAGTCCAGCAGATGCACACTCACTCAAATTGTGGTGATCAGGTCTGGAACCAAGGCAGGATTTTCCTGGCATGGAGTGGATGATCCCTTGAGTTGTAGGGAGAAGATTGGTCATAGGCAGAAGTTTCCTCTCTCACCAAGGTCCAGAGGAGGCGGTAGAGTTTGAGAGTGGTGAGGATCATGCAGAGGCTCAGGAACGATGACAAGTGATGGGATGTCAGGTCCTCATCAGGCTCTCCAGCTCGAGTGCTTCCTTGTTTCGGCTGGCGGAATCCCTGTTCATTTGCTCTATCATTTATACTAAATTTGGGGGCTTTTGACCCCCATTTCAATCCTAATCAACTACCACTGGATTTCTCAGTGACATCATTTACCCTGGAGTCAGGAAACATCTGGTCTGGTGGTCTCCACCCTGATCTTCTTCCTTTCCCCTCCTATCAGGTGAGGAGGCCATACTAGAGGGCTCTATGGGTGTACCTGGTGAAACTGCAGGTTTCAAACTGGAGTTTTCTTTTTTTTTAATATTTATTTTTTAGTTTTCGGTGGACACAACATTTTTGTTGGTATGTGGTGCTGAGGATCCAACCCAGGCCGCACGCATGCCAGGCGAGCACACTACCGCTTGAGCCACATCCCCAGCCCAAAACTAGAGATTTCTAAAATGGAGTTGCTTAGACTCAGGCCTAAGGCCATCCTAACAGCAAAAAAAAAAAAAAAAGTCAGCTATAGAGCTCGGGTTGTAGCTCAGTGGTATAATGCTTGTCTAGCATGTGTGAGGCACTTAGTTCGATTCTCAGCACTGCACATAGATAAAAATCTATTGACAATTAAAACAATATTTTTTAAAAGCTGTTTTCAAGCCAAATAAAGGCTTTCAAGAAAAGCAGATCATACCAGCACATTGATCTTGAACTTTTAGACTCCAAAACTGTCAAAAAATAAATGCATGTCATTTAAATAAGCCAGTCTATGGTATTTTCTTCAAGTAGCCAAAACTGACAAAGGAATAATATAAACCAACAATTTCACTATGCTAACCCAATTCCTGGTTATGCTACAAGAGAAATGAGTGCTTACCTTCAAAACAACAGCTGTAGCAAAAGATCCACTTCAAATTTATTTTTAATACTTAACAACTAGAAAGGATGAAAAGTTTAGCAAGGTTAGAATGAGTGAACACTTTGTTCTGGATTCATGTGATAAAATACTACTGGCCAATGAACAAGACCAGAGTGCTGTGTCACATGAAAACACAGATGGATCTCGTGGACTGAGGATCTGTCCAGAGAAAGATCCAGACTCGGAAGACAACCTGGAATCTCCCTCCATTGATATGAAGGGGAAATCAAGCAAACTAGTGTATCATGACAGAGTTCAGAATTGTGGGTAATTTGGGAAGGGACTATTTAAAAAGGCACAGGGACCATTCCATAGTCCTGGAAATATTCCATATTTACTAGCAGGCACATCACGTATACACGCACAATGAACACGTATGTTCATGCCTAAGGTGTGTGAAATCCAATGAAAAGAAAAATAACAGGAAGGGAGGACTCCATGCTCTATCAAGCCCAAGCCAGTGACTTGATCCATATTAACAAGTACTGTATTCCCACAATGACCCACAGGAATGAGTTTGTGCATGCTTGGCACCCAGGGGAGCACTTATTCTAGAGAAAGGGGTCTCAATAGTTATTACACGCCTCAGCATTCCAGCTTTGCCTCCTGAGCCTTGGTGCTTTCCATCCCCCACCCCACCCCCACCCCCAAGCCCACAGTGCCCTGTGACTTCAGCTATTGTGATGCAAACACCAAGGGAGTGGGAAGCAGCCTGAGAGCCAAGGAGACAGCACCTAGGAGAGCTCACTCACAGGTCAGCAGGCATGCTCCTCATTCAGGGGCAGGACTGGGGACTTGGAGGAGGGGGAAGGGGAACCTGTCTTGGGTTGGTGTGGTTCTGGCAACAGCTGGCCCTCTTAGAAGAGCCCCCTACATGGGGACCCTATAAGCTGCCCTCAAGAGGCTCCTAAGGCCAGCCTTCTTTGTCTCCACAGCCCCCCATGCCCTCCTCCTACATATTGACTGGTTTTATTTTGTCTGTAGTCCAGAGAGGAGGCAGGGAGCCTGGAATGAAAAGACCTCTGAAGAGTATCTAGTAAATCCGCATCAGGTAGGAAGGGGTCCCATTACTGGAAGACACCCTCAGAGGTAGCTGTGCTCCCTTGGGCAGCAGGCGTCAGTTTCTCCTGGGGGTTGAGGGTCTGGTGTGGATGCGCCCAAGAACACTGTCTTGAGTAGATCATGCCTCCCAAGACACTGAAGGCCAGTTAGTTGGGCTGTTGCCTCTGGTGTCTGGGAGAGGATGGAGCATCCCCTGGATCCTCTCCCGTGTCCAGGTTCCTGCAGAGAGTCACGGACGACTTCTTTCTGGGTCTGGAGCTGGAGCGGTGATGTCCAGGACAGAAGCTGCGAGGTAAGGGGCACAGAAGCCTGTTGTGGGAGGGTCTGATGCTTTGCATTTTCCTCTTAGGGTCGAAGGCTACGTGTCAGCCTACGGCAGGTAAAGGGGAGACCTGCTTATGGTCACACCCCCCCGTAGAGGGTTGGAAGGTGTTTGGGGAGGGCTAGGCAGGGCTCTTGTCTCCAGAGGCTGAGTAGGAGGACCCTGGCCTCCTGACCTGTCCCCCCAGCAGGCTGAGTGCACTTCATCCCCTGCTTCCTGGTTCATTCTGTGGCTCAGAGGCCAGGTAAGTGGTTCTGGGAGAGGAAGTCCCAGGAGTGATAAGGAGGATGTTGCTGGGAGGTCTTTCTCTCCCAGAAGAATTACAACCCAGGCTGCTTACGAGGAACTGGACATCTTACCCTCCCGGAAAACCAGGAGGTAAGGAGCTTCCTGCCCTGGGGAAGGGAAAGAGGAAGTCCTATTTTCCCAGATGTCCTCAGGTCAGTTGAGAAGAAGGAGGGCAGTGGTGTGGGTCTGTCCAGGTGTTTGGAGAAAGTGATGGCCACTCTCAGGCTGAAAGCACCTCCTCGCACACAGGTAGGTCTTTGATGTCAACATGTGAGCAGGTGTGAACACATGCCCAGGATGCACAGTTGGCGAGAACTGACCACTGTGGCCATTGTATGTGTTCCTTTCCCTCTACCTGTTATGGGAAGGAATGTAGGGAGGTGAGGCCGCTCAGACCTGGAGGACATGGTAAGGGCTATTTCAACTGTTCATTTTTGCATTGATTCTGTGTGTGGTTCTTTATGTGAGCTGGGAAGAGCCTGAGACAGAAGATGCCAGAGGAGGACCTTGGAGCATCTGGGGGATGGCAGGCCTTGCTGTCTTTGCCACTGAAAGTGCACCGTCCCTCCCTGGGTTTGGAATGGACGAGAGCCTGCTGTCCTCACCTGGAGGAGTCTTCTTACTGCATAGCAGGTTGGAGCTCTTTATGCATTTTCCGGGCAATTTCAGCAGCTCTCCACCTCTTCAACCCAGCCTCATGGAAGTTTGGTTGTGGTCTGGGGACAGGAGATGGCTTTTCTCCGTCTCTTCACACACCTGGCCATGCCCCACACGAGCTTACTGCCCATCCACCTGTGGCCAGGTTTGGTGAGCTCCCTGCCTTCTCCAGGTTGAGCCGACCTGCTTGGGCTGTGCAGCTGCTATCTGGCAGCCCAGGGACTCTGACCAAGCCCCTGCCCCTAGGGTCTGCGTTCTGAGAAACAGCTCTGCTTCCTCTCTGTAGGAGACTTGGCACAGGAGAGGGAGATGCAGAGGCTGGACCTATCAGGCCAGGGAGCTAGCTTCTGGAGACTTCAATCAGAAGGGGTAGGGAGTTTTCAACTCTAGACTTCCAAAAGTGTGCTGCTTGGGTCCCTTTGGTGACCAGGGGGACTTGAAAACCCTCTTCAGTCCTGGGGGATGTTCTGGTTACTCCAAAGAACTATGAAGGTCATTGGGTGCCACAAAATATTTGTCATCAGGACCAAAAGGCCTCAAAAGCTCAGTGTGACTATTATGTGTCCGCCAGGTCCACTGGAAACATGGCTCCTCTCAGCCTCTTTGCTGATTCCGGGTGGAAGGTATTTAATTCCTCCCTCTCTCCAGGTACGGTTTACAAACAGGCGCTGGGAACCCAGCAGCAAGAAGTTTTCCCTGATATTCTTTTTGGGTGCAGGCACAGGACTGGGGATGGAACCCAGCGATGCTTTACCTCTGATCTGCATTCCTCGTCCTTTTCATTTTTTATCGAGAAAGGGTCTTGCTGAGTTGCGAAGGCTGGTCTGGAACTTGCAATCTGCCTTCTTCAGCCTCCCGAGAAGCTGACATTACAGGCTTGTGTCACCAAGCCCATCGGGAAGTTGGCTCTGAAAGCCATAAAGGGGCTGTTGACCCTCACGGAGTTGGGATGCAGGTGAAAGCATGAAAACTTGGATGAACAGCTTCCCTTTCTACAGACACAGACGGTCAGTCTTTTTCAAAAGTAATAAGAACACACGTCATCTT